TGTGGGCGCGCCATGTCAGGAGGAGGCACGGCGCGCTGGCGCACTGCGCCCTCCCCCACCCCCCCCCCCCCCCCCCCCCTCCCGACGGGTGCCGAGTGTGCGCTGCGCGTGCGGGCAGTGCGACCTGGGCCGACCTCGAGCCAGCTGCGGTGACTGACGGCGGGGGCGGGGAGGGCGCCGCCGCCAATCTGGGCCGGCACCCGAGACGGCACGGTCCGATGGCAGCAGCGATGGCCCCGCGATACAGGGCCGGCTCTGGCGCGGGGCAGAGGCACGAGCCCAACTGCACTGTGACCGCAGAAACAGGCCGGCGGCGCGCACTCGAAACATTAATTATAGGAATCGATAGCGATTGCATGCGCCGTTTCAGAAGGTTCCCTTTTCTCTGTCTCTCTCTCTCTCTTCCCTTCTTCGTGTTATCTCCCCTTCGAATCTGTGCATCTAATGACACAAACAAGAGCCACAGCAGTGGCAAAGAACACGTTGCATGGGCAAAACCGGACGTTATCACACACTCAAACGCCCACACACATGCACACAAACACAGCGCGCACACCAGTAATGGGATTCTATTACGGGCCAGTAAAAACTGGACGCGCGTCGCGGAACTTGTGGTTGGCGCACCGTGTTCAAGAGCCGCTAGGCCGCACACCAAACAGTGCAAATGTATCATGTGGTGGTCAGCCAAGGCCGGCAGCGCACGGGGCGCATGCGTGCAGCGGCGCCGAGGGCGGTGGTCCGAGCCGACCCGCTCGCTGCTTCCTGGTGACGGCCGGGCGTCACCCGAGCGCGCCGTGTGCGCCGGCCGGCCTCGTCCAGGCTCACGGTCAGGGGGGGGGGGGGGACTGCAGCTGTCAGAGGTGGTCCGAGCCGACCCGTTCGCTGCTTCCTGGTGACGGCCGGGCGTCACCCGAGCGCGCCGTGTGCGCCGGCCGGCCTCGTCCAGGCTCACGGTCAGGGGGGGGGGGGACTGCAGCTGTCAGAGGACCGCAGGATGGCCTGACGGAGGGACGGAAGGCCATCCGTCAGAGGGAAGGACAGCTGGTCTGTCATTCGGTCAGTGGGATGGTCCGCCAATAGACGGATGATGGGTTATATGTCGGGGGATGACGGGATGGTCTGTGAGAGGGACGGTAGCATGGTCCGTCAGCAGGACGGTCAGATGGTCTGCCGTGGGGATGGTCTGTGAGAGGGACGGTAGCATGGTCCGTCAGCAGGACGGTCAGATGGTCTGCCGTGGGGATGATGATATGGTCCGTCGAAGCAAAGGTGGGATAGTCTGCCGGGCAGACAGTCAGACAGCGTGTCATAAGAACTGTTCGATGGTCTGTCAGAGGGATGATGGACATGAACTGTCAGGGTCATGTTCTGAGAAGGAGACGGGCCTACCGGCGATGACATTGATCACCCAAACGGTTTGCAAACAGGTCAGGCCAGCGGAGGCAAAAAGCATGCGCTGGACTGATGCATTCCCACAAACAGCGTCAATGCCTAGGTTTGCCGGCCATCCGGGTGCAGCTCCGAACCGGGACCTGCACTT